AAAAAAAACCCCCCCCCCCCCCCCCACACACACACACAGAGCAAAAGCCTTTGATTGTAACACTATATGCGACACGACAGGGCGCAAATGGCTTGTTAAAAATTCTAGAATCCAACACGCCCCCTTCCTCAGGCCCTTCACGCCCAGCTTGACACACTTACACGCGTCTTCAACACTGGTGAAAACCAACGCAGGAGGAGGCCAGGGCAGGGGCGCCCCGCAGAGCCTCGGTTCACTTACACATCCTCAGGCCGGCGCGGGGAGGCGGCCTGGGCCACCCCCTCCTCCCCAAGCCTGCGCTGCTCGGAGCGCGGACAGGAGGGAAGCCCGCGAGTTCCATCGGACACCTACCGCTATGGACCCAGAAGATGTGGCAACAAACACTTTGATAACCATTTTGACAGTCGGAAAGAGGACTCCCCCCAACACACCCCTGTGACGGGACACGGCGCGGCGGGCGGGGCCCTGCGCTCCTCTGCGCTCCCGCCCCGCCTGCTGCCCCTTAAGCTCCCGCTCTCCCGGGAGCGCGCAGGCATCCCGGGCCGTCCCTTCCATTGGCCCGGGAATATTTGGGGACCTGTCAGGAGAATGTTTGATTGGTTGATAAAAGCAGTCCCTGGACCCTTTCCCTCATCACTTTGAACGCCCGACAACAGTCCCTAAAAGGCGAGGCTGCGCTGCGCACCAATCAGAGCCCTGCGCACAGCTGCCGGGGATGGAGGCGGGTGGCGCGCGGGGCGGCGGGGACAGGGGCAGGGGGAGGCGCGCTCTCGGGGGCTGGAAAGGCCCAGAACACTGCAGCTCTGGGCTCCGAAGGGGCCCCGTTTACAGGCCTTCTGGCCAACAAGCGGGAAGCCTCAGAATAGCCGCTAAGGCCTTTGAGTAAAGAGCGAAGGGCTGCCTTCCTTTAAAGGTTTCTGGCAGGTTAAAAGGAAAATCGGCGAACTGGCCTACAGCAGATACCTTAGGAGCGGCCTGTTCCCACTTTCTCCCCTTACCACCTGTTCCTCTTAAAGAACAGGATGACAGGTCTGGACGGGTAAGGTTTCACGGAAGTCCCCAACAAGGCTGGGAGACAGCTGTCCAAGAACTGGACAAGCAAATTGTCCTCGCTATGCTGGGGCGAAGGGGGAGGGGGGCGAGGGGTTAAATGATCTGTTTGTAACGGGCTCTGTCTTATTCACAGAGAGAACTTTAATTATGTTCAAAGTTGGAGGAGTTCAAAATCTAGTAAAACCCAAATGCTAGCCGCCAACTCTCCTGATGGGTTTAAACATCAAGATCAAGGGCATTAGAGGCAAAGGCCCCTGGGGGATATCCAGTCTGCTTAGATAGCTGAGTCTCTTATTTTTGAAGTCCCCTGCTCCTTGTGGAGGAGATGGCACTGGCGTCCTGGAACAGGGACGGGTGTTAGGGTGTTAGGCTTATGCAAGCCCCCTTCACCAAAGTCTGGAGGCCTGGAGGCCTGCGCCCTGCCCGCCCAGGCCGGTGCCTTTGATGAGAAAGGATCACCGGTCCCTGGAATGCAGCTCAAATCCACTTACATCAGGCCAAGTGCTTGAGATGACTCCACCACAATGTAACCTGGAGCCTCAACAGGCCAGCTTAACCGCTCCTAATGGTAGGCCCTTGGCAAAGACGATTAATGGTGCCCCAAGTTTAAGCCACTAGCATTGTAATTTTTATTTTAAAGCCCAACATAGATCATAGGTCATTGTTGCTTTTCTTCTTTTCTGTATTTTCAAAACTTCTGCACTGAGTATATATGATTTTTGTCATATAAAATATATATATATATTTTAACACCTCGGTCTTAAAATGTCAGGTGAGCATGTTATTTTCTCCAGATATTACTTAAGGAAGTAATAAGCTGTTCATTCTTGACTTTGTAAGTTAGTAACATGAACTATAGCTGGATTCACAGGTGCCCTAGGGAGTATACATCCCCTGATCATATAAGACAAAACTGCCTTCATAATGACACCCCGGGGGAAAAAGGGGGACATCTGTAATACTTTCAACAATAAAGATAAATTTTTAAAATCTTCACCAAAATTTTTTTTTTTAATGACACCCCTTCCATCTTCACGCCCTGGAGAGAAATAAATTTCCTATTTGAAACACTAGCTAATAATTTGTAGGTGTTTGCCCGGAGCCAGACTTGCTCTAAGTGCTTTGCATAGACCACTCCCTTCTTCTTCATAAATGCCTTAAAACTGGGCTCTGTGATTATCCCTACCCCAGGTGAGGTCTTAGAACTGGAGATGATGGGAAGTGAGTGGTGCATCCAAGACCTGAGCTAAACCCATTTATCTCTACGCCACACCTAAAAAATTCCTGACGTGCTAACCTCGGATTCCTAGGGCTCCCTTTTTGCACTATGAATTTCTTTCAGAAGTTTATCCTTTTAATAATGCCATGAAAGTGTACAAATTAGAAATCTGAAAACTCTAGCTCAAAGATCTTTTAATGTATTCTAGGGACACGAGTGAGCTTCAAGATAATTAATAGGAATGCCAAACATTCTAAATAAGTCCTAAAATAAAGCTCAATGATTCTCTGACATAGAAAATGCACTTCAGAAATAAACAGCCTAATCCAGTGGGGATGCAGGAGGCTAATCATATCAAGTCAAAGAATCCTTTCAGATTTGACCCAATTTTTGACAGAATTTTCTTTTTCCAGCTTTATTGAGGTATAACTGACAAAACTCTAAGATATTTAAAGTGCACACCAGGAGGATCTGATACAGGTATACATTGTGAAAAGAGGACTTGACCTCATTTGAACAATAAAAGTATGCGGTATTGGCTCCAAGGTTCACAGAGATCCTCAGATGATCTCATGAACAACGAAACCAGATGCTATGTTTTGAGAAAACATGAAATGAGAAATAGCCTGGCCAGTGTGTCTCAGTGGTTAAGCATCTAGCCATGCACCAAGAGGTTGCAGGTTTGATTCCTGGTCAGGGCACATGTCTAGGTTGTGGGCTCGATCGCCAGTAGGGACCGTGCAGGAGGCAGCTGATTGATGTTTCTCTCTCATCGATATTTCTTTCCATCTCTCTCTCCCTCCCCCTCCCTCTCTAAAAGTCAATAAAAACATATTTAAAAATAACATAAAACAAGAAATAAAGGTGTATTTTTATTATGTAGAATAACAGTGGTGGCCACCACAGTAACTGCAGTGAGTTGAACAGTGTCCCCCCAGAACTCATGTTTACCCAAACCTCAGAATGTGGCCTTATTTGTAAACAGGGTCTTTGCAGATGAAACTAGTTGAGGATCTTGAGGTGAAATCATCCTGGATTTCAGGTTAAGCCCTAAATCCAGGAACTGATGTCCTTGTATGAAGAGAAGACACAGAGAAAAACGCCATGTGAACACAGAGACAGAGACTGGAGTGACACTGCCACAGCCAAGGAACCCCAGGAGCCAACAGAAGCTGGACCAGGCAGGAAGGATTCTCCCCAAGGGAGCATGGCCCTTGATTTCAGAATTCTAGCCTCCAGGACTGTGAGAGAATAAATTTCTGTTGTTTTAAGCCACCCAGATCTGTGGCAATTTGTTACAACCACCTTAGGAAACTAATACAGAGAAATAGGTGCATACGTTTGGTATGTACCATAACTAAAAGGCAGTTCTTCAACTTTGTACCTCACAGGCCTCTCTCCCTTCCAAATAAGAAGAAAGCGCCCCTTTCAAAGGCAGAACCAAAGACTATTGACTGGGAAAAGCTAGTAAAAAAGAGAGGGAGAAACCATTCCGATGGGAAAGGAGAAACCGCCATCTGTCAGGTTCCTCCAGTCCTGAGAACCAGTGTGGGGATGATCCCTTCACAATAAACTGCTGATTTTGTTACTTCCTGGGCAGACTATTAGCCATGAACCAGCCGTCTTTCCATAAATGTCAAGTCTAGGGTGACACCTGTCTACTGTATGTCTGCCTGGAGATGCTCCCAACAACAACTATGTACCACCTGCCATCCGATAAGGGTCACTCATAACTAAGGTGGTAGGACCACGGCCCCCACGAAACTCTGGTGGGCACTCTTAAGGGCACGTGGAGGAAGGGGTGGTGACCTGAAGGGACAGCCTTGCCCCACCCACCCCTACAACGCAGGAACTAAACCGTCTGCTTGGAAACACGCACTGTCCCTATTACAGAAAAGCCAACGCAAAAACCATAAAGAGAAAATCTGATAAATTTGACTCTACACAAATGTCAGAATACATTGTAAACAAAATTAAAAGGTAATTGGCTGGAGGAAATATTTGCAGCATATATCACAGACCCGAGTTTCATGGAAAACATCGAAAATTCTAAGACACCATTTTTTACAAAGATGAACAAACACCAAGTGAAAAAATGGGCAAAAGGCCAGAAAAGGCAAATCGCAAAGTACAAACGGTCACTAGCAATATGGGAAAAACGCCCACCCTTCCGGTGATCAGAGAAGTGAATAAAACCAAAGATGCCCATTTTCAACAATAAAACGGGCATTTTAAAAAGAAGTACGATTATCCCCAAGGTGGTTTAAGGCCTGGAGACATTTGCCTGGAAGGCAAACTTTCATCTACCTTCAGAAAACCTCCAAGTGGGCGCATCCTTGGATCCTTCCACTTCTCGGGGAGCAATTTATCCTAAGGAAACGGGAGACCCACAAGGATACAAGGCAGTGATACAGTGGGGGGGGGGGTAGGAAAGAAGGAAAGAATAATATAAATGCTTGTTAATTACACATTCCACCGTGCAGGTGATTTTTACCTTTTCCTGGCACTTTCCTGTTCACTGTAAGTTCTCTACACCAGACATGAATTACTTTGTCATCAGAAATCCAACTTGAGAGAGCGCGGTTAACAGGCAGAGGGGCGCCCACACCCGCCCGCGGGCCCCCCTTTCCAGGGGCACCGGCGCCCACACCTGCGCGCCGAGCACCGGCCTGACCT